TCATAATTATGAGATAGCCAAGTCATAATTATGAGATACTATCTCATAATTATGGGATAGCCAAGACATAATTATGAGATACTATCTCATAATTATAAGATAGCTAAGTCATAATTACGAGATACAAGTTTTATTTATTTTTTATCAGGGTGGCGGAAATGGGCTTCCATACTAAAATGTGGGAGAAACACCAAAAAAGTTTGAGACTTTTGTTTTACCAGCCAATAACCTCGTGAGAGTTGCTGATTAAGCTTTATCAACTGTTCAAGCACGAAGAAAAACATATTCAACTTCTCCTTCATTTTATGTTGAAATAACCTCAAACACGTCGAATTAATGAGACAAATCCATCAGTTGAGCAGTCATTACACAGGAAACAACGCGTGCTGCGTTCAAGGAACTTCAAAAACCGTAGAAATGTTTGCTCTGTCTCTAAAAGAGGAGTTGCCCAGCAGAGAGAGTGTGTTTTTTAGTTACCTGGAGAATTAGTTTCGTGTCTGCTGCTTTCAGGATTCATGGCTGCAGACAGTTCGGCTCGTGATGGCGAGGTCTAATCCGCAGGAACCCGGCGGTATTAGATTTCTGTGCGCTGTTATTCTTCTGTAATACAGCCTGAGACCAAGCGCACGAGGAGATAAACGGGCCTGAAGCAGCAATTACCTGATTATTAAGTGGCCTCAACAGGTGAGGCTTTCAGGCGCGCGCTCGGTTTTGTTCGCGTCACACATGCGCACAAAGAAGGCAGGTTTCCCAATCACCTTTCAGGAAAAATGGAGAGAAAAACCTGCTGCTACCTGTAAGAACTTTCTACCTAAAGTTTCAATATTTCATGTTGGTTGAAATTCCAGTAATTAATATTCATTTATATGTCATAATAAAAATAGTACATATAGCGTGCATCAAAGTTCTTTGTTGACTTTTTCTTTAATTTTACGACTAATAATTAAAAAAAAAAATTAAAGAGAGGAGGGACGTGCAGCCCAATGCTGCATTTAATGTAACTCGGAAAATATCTGCTACGTTCTGGACCATTTTTAAAGTTAAAACATCATGTTTTCACTTCATTTAGTGCCTTGATTTTTTTTTTGCTTAAATTTAACCTTATCAATTATCTAAAGGAATAATTAGCTAAAATAATAAAAAAAAAGATTACAAATTTATCTCAATCAAATAAAGTGTTATTTTTTTAAAAATAATTATTTCATTTATTTTTAGGAGCAACGGTGTGTAGAAGGGACTTGTAAGGAAACTAGACAGGTGACGGTGTTTATTCACTTTTATCTTGAAACCCAAAATTCCCAGTTTGACATTGAATGCAGCAAAACCTCCTGCAGAAACGTGTCGCGTGAGGGGCGGGGCTCAGGTAAGGTGTATGCGGAAGTATAAAAAAAGACTCAACGCCTTGTGACGTGATTTTAATCCACAAAGAGTCGAAGGAACAACAAGTAGGTCGCTTTAAGTGTTCAAATA